GCGCATAATGTAGGCTATTATTATATTGTTATATAGGTGCGCAGTAGATCGCCGTCTGCTGGTGAGGGATACAGGTGGAATACGCGAGGTGGTGCTGAAAGACAGCGCCCCGCGCCACTAGGGCAAACACGATCACTGCGTTTAGCTTCCTCCAGTAACTAAGCTAAAAAAGGCCGATCCTAAGACAAATACGGATGAACATGTATAGCATATCATTCATTCATTCATTTACTTTAATCATTCCCCCAATCACGCAATTGAATTCCGGAAACAAAAAGAAAAAAAATTAAAGGCATTAAATGAGAGTTTCATAGCTACAACAGCAAAGGCAATCAGAGAATATGGGAGGATACTCCAAGACTTCAAATCTTTTAATCTTTATACAAATTGCTACACTCTAATATTTCTTTGTGTTTTTACATCTTCTCTTTAAATAAGGACCGGAGTAAGCCTGAGACGAGGGCTTACCGCGAGAACAAGCCTGAAACATAATACAAATTTCACAGCTGACCTGTTCTGAAAACCGCAATCAGCCAGTAATTCAAAAGAAAACAACATATTCCATCCCCACAACACATCTAATGGTCTGATAATTATATCAGACTTTATAGCTTTTAATTAGGCTAATGTAGATATGATATGGAATGGGATAATTCAATACGGGTCTAATTGAATTTTGTAATTGGTCTAGCAGAAGAGCGGTTACAAAATCGTCAATATTCATGGAGCACGCGAGCCGTTTTTTAGTTGAAAAACTAGGGACAACGCGGCTGAATGTCCTGGCACTGCTATATGGTTTTAAAAGCATGTTTATGGACAAAATCAGGAGACCAAAGATGATGAGCAATTATATTTTCGCCATCAAAATACAATTAGACCACATTTCCGGGGTGACTTTTAAACTTAACATGTAAAGAACGGGGTGAAACCTACTATCACTTCACAAATAAGAAGGACTAAATAAACAAAAAACAGGAAATGCCTTAGTAGGACAATTGAACACAATAGGAAAACATATAGTGTTATTCATTGTAATACGCTGTAGTGCTGTATAGACTGTCATATTCTGGTTAATTAAGGGCTTGTAAGTGCTAAAGGGTTACACGTCTTTAACGTTTGTCGGTTTACAATTATTCTATCTATCTATCTATCTATCTATCTATCTATCTATCTATCTATCTATCTATCTACATTTAAATAATGAGCATATCTACAAAGTCGTCTGTCTTTCTAAAGCTGTTATATTAATTGTAAAGAACAGGTTATATCGGAAGGTGGCGCAACCAAAAACAAACATTTATAAATAAATTACGTTTATTGAATGTTATCCCAGCGACCCTAACTAGGTTAGACGTTTAGAAGTCCGGTGGGTAGATTTTATTTTTCTTGCGCTGTATTTATCTAAAATATCTATATATTTTTTGTTGATAAAAGCATTAGTCGTTATTTAGGCCTACTTCAAAATCAGTTCCTGGGGGGGGTGCATGATTATTAATTCACAAAGGTTAAATAAGTCATTATAAGTGTACAATCAAAACAATGTGCACCCAAACACAATATGGCTTAATTATTTGGGTTATTAAATATTATTTTATCTTTATTAGATGAGCGTAGATTTGATGTTTTAATTTTCATAAATATCGTTATCTATTTCGCTGGTTTTAAAAACTGCAGCAACATATGCATAAAAATAAAGTATTTTTTTCTAATAATAGTTGAAGTGTTCTGGAAATAAAGCTCTGCGGATAATCTCTCCGTTGCAATAGTTTATTTTAAATGTACTTTATTGTTTAAATTGTTTAAGGCACAATAGGTAGGCTATTACTAACGGGCACCTTGAGTCTGTGCACTGCTTACAGGATATTGAACGTTTACTGTCGGCGGACGGGGTTACTGCAAGCCGAAGACCCTGTCCTGGGATAATTTAGGCCTATTATTTTTTAAATAATAAAAATAAATTAAATAAAGAGTCAAAGCGACCTGTTTTTGCATATCCTTCTTGCTTTGTGTCGGCATCTAGTTTCACACAGCTTTAGAGTAAAATTAAAGCATATGGGACATTTTTAGTTGAATTAGAGAATAATCATTGTTTTGCTGTCTTAACATCGTCAAATAACCTCGCAAATGAACAAAAGTAGCTGCACAAATTCGACAGTCGTAAAAAATTAAATAGATTTGGATTTTATCCCCCTTGATTCCACTGACATCGGGGAACATTTTGAAACATTGTCGCTGTGATATTTGACCTCAGAGTTGTTGGACATGTTTTCTTATACTACTCAGTAGCCTACAATTGCAGGTACAGTTCACGCTATCAAGGCAGGGTGTCCAGAGACGGCTTGGTTAGTAACCTATTTATAGTAGTAGTTAAAGTGACTAGTAGTAATTTATACATAACTGCGCGGGACACATTTCAAAATTATCGTAATCATATTTTCTCATTTTGAACAATAAACAGCAGTCAATTCATGCAGGACATGTTAATAGCTAAATAAAACGTCACATTACAAAGTCTTTCATGTGCGACAAAAATTTTAATGGATAAGTTTTTTGTTGTTGTTGTTTTGGGTTTATTTATAATAGAAAAAAACTACCTGGAACTGTGGAAAACTGTTTTGTACGAATGACATAGAGAGCTGGGTCTGTCTACCAAGATCTCGACACCCCCAGTGTCTCCAGTTGCTTGTTGACGAACAGTTCTCAGATTTCCTAGTGACATAATTACATGCCAGTGACTACCTTGCAAATTATGGGCACTGTAAATTAAGACACAGAAGTTTTTTTCCTCTCCCCATTTTCTAGGAAAGTAGGAAATAGAAACATGTAAAGCACAAAGAATATTGAATCCTCCGGCCAATCCAAGACTGCAGCTTTCATTGGAGGATGTACATTTTTTTTTAAATACGTAAATGCATAAATTATATAAATTAATTTGACAGCTCAGAGAGTAGCCTTTCACATTCAATCGCTATAAATTCAATCGCTTAGTGGGTATAAAATTCCAGAATTTCAGTACCCACTTGTTGTACCGATTGATTGATTGACATAGTCAGCGAGTCAAATGAAATCGGAGACCGCTGTTCCTAATGAGCTATTTCAGTGGTATTATTCATTTATGAAACAAAATCACTTTTGAATCCACGACAAGCACATAAAGAAAACCCAAACTACTTAATACAGTACACTTGCCTTAAATATGCAGGTAGGCTAATAGCTTTAGATGATGATTATGCGCTCAAAGTAGATTTCTAAAACTACAACAGTCGACCAACAACAATACTGAGAAGAATTAGCGCGGCTGTCTTAATCGGTTGAAAAATATACGGTATAAATATATGCGTAAGATTTGGACCATTGCGCAAAGCTGGCGATGCACGGCATTAGGTTGAGCTACATATTTCTTTAACACTAAATTGCATGCGGACGTTTTGTAATGCTTCATACTACAGACACAAGCGATCAAGTTACAATACACCTTGGCATGTTCATTAAGAATAACTTCTTTCAAATCGTCAATTTTTGAGCGCTCAGTTATGCTTAAATGGACATACGGCAGGCTGTCCGTTTTGCTTTAAGTCGTGCAGACTTACGCGAAATGCTTTGTCCTTCATACGTTGACAGCGAAGAAGAAATAAAAAAAGTATTTCACCCCTGCTACTAAACCCTTCCCCTGTCCACGGAGCTTGCATTTGAAAGCCTTCTGAAAACCTTACCATGTCTACGATATTGTAACGGCAAAGCGTGCCAACTGCGGCTGTCCTCAGCTCCCCAACCCGCCGCTCACATACACACTGGGAGGGAGAGAAACGAAAGTGAAATTCGTTATTGATAGACTTTAAAGACAATTTCAAGTCATTGTTTCCTTCGGCGCAACGGCTCCTTCTTACATAATGAAAGCATGTTTTTGTGTGGCTTGGAACAATACATAAGTATTCTAATAAATAGCCACTTTTTGTTCCCTCTCTACGACAAACGGTATTGAGCATTTAGTTTGAAAGGGGCTGCGGGGCATTCATGAGGCGGAGGTGGGGCTTGCCCTGTATTTGTAAAGTCGCCACTGTTTCTTTGGTTTTCTACACTCTCAAAAATATCCGCTGAATTTCCGTTTAGATTTATAGAACTGATATATTATTGGACAGGGTCGTACAATTTTTAAAAACTGGCATCCATCCCAACAACATTTTGGCATTTAAAGGTTTTGTGAAGTTCTTTAGCATTACATTGCGAAGTTTAACATAGGCCTACTTGTCCCTGCTAGCAATAGTACAGCAATGAAAAGGCTATTAATGGTGCGAAAAATGTAACTGGCCTGCGTCAATCCCCCGTAAAAGTACCAGACCGTGAAAATGCGTGTGATGACGTTGATTAGACTTCAAGTTACTTAATGACAAGTTCGGAACAAGTAATACAATTGATCTGCTCAGTCTATCCCAAATTCTCTCATCTAAGCAATTTGTTATAGAGAGGGGCTGCATCATGGAACAGAATAAGACCGGAGAAAATATGTGCCTTTTGTGCCATTTCTTCAACAATAACCGCAGCTATAACACCGGTTAGGTAATCGGATCAGCAAAAGTTACATAGGCCTAGTTAGCAAGTTAACAATGGGCGGTACAGGAATACTTTGTTTTTGCTTTGCATTTTCTTAAAATCTGAGGAATCCTTCTGATCTGTAACTTACAAATAATCTGTTCTAAGAATTATCAATATTTTGCCTGAATAGTATATTTTTATGCATGTATGAATCTGTACTGTTTCATTTAGTGTATATTTAAATGTTTCACTGCAGATATGCTTAGAGGTATCTTAAGGACTAAGCTGGTGTTCTGGGTGTTACGAGGGATGAAAGACTTGCAGCCTGGCATTTGGCGAAACAAAATGTGCTTTATTAAACTAAAGCAAACAGGGACTTAACAAATAAACAAGATCATGAGGGATCAAAACAAGAGGGCCAGAACAGGGCCAGAACAGGGCCAGAACAGGGCCAGAACAGGGCCAGAGGCAGCTGGGAGCGATTAACATGAGGGTTAGCAATGGGAGGTAAGACAAGTGAGTAACAGGCGTAGCTTGTTAGGGTCACACTAGGGGGGAAACAGGAGGGTCAGGTGGATATGGGAGGCAGGGTGTGACACTGGACAGTATAGTACAGAATGTACACATACATATCTATCATTATGTGAAATTTTACTACTAGAATCACTCTATTTTAAAATTATTCATTCCAGATAGTTTTAATAAAATACCTATGAATTGTTTGGCTGTAAATTGCAGAGTTTATTTAGGTTGAACATTCTAATTACTTTTGTGTTGAAGGGTTTACAATGAGTATCAAATTTTTTGCATCTGTCTTTTCACTGATGTAAGGAAACATATTTATTCCTGTTGTGCACTAAAGAGGACATGCTGTGAAATTAAAAATAAAAATAAATTTGATAAAATCTAAACTGTAAAATGTCTTATTTCCTCCAAATTAAGACAAATAACCTACAATTGAAGGACACTTTTTTCCTTGGCTCTCAGGAGGATATAATATCACATGTTCTTCTTCGATAATTCAGCCTTAGTCTCATCAGTCCAGAAGACATTTTCTCAGTAGCAGAGCAGAGTGTGAAGCTGGTCTTGGGCGAGCTTCAGGAATACAGGAGTGTTCTTCTGTTGATGGGCAGCGGCTTCCTGTCTGGTGTCCTCCCATGGACGTCATGCGTGTACAATGCTTTACATGTGGTAGACTTGTCAACAGAGATTTTAACCACATCCAATGATTCCTTCAAGCCTTTAGCTGTTGCTTCAGGGCTTCTTTTACTCCAGTGAGTTTTCTGTGTTTCTGTGTCTTTTCAGTCATCTTGGCCGGGTGCTTCTAGGAAGAGATGCCACAACACTAAACCGTCTCAATTTAAACACAATTTGTCTATCTGTGAACTGATGAATATATAAACTTTTTGCGATGACTTTGTAAACCTTTCCAGCTTTATGCATATCGGCAATTCGATCGTAGTTCCTCTGCAATCTCTTTTTTGCAAGGCATGGATCACTCCAGTATCATTTCATTTATTGGACTCCAGGTTTGCTATTTCCTGACTCCATTTAGCTTTTGTTGAAGTCATTAGCCTAAGGATTCACATAGTTGTATCTACACTGTGAATGTTTGAAAGCTGTACAAAAACAATACAAAAATTTGTTTATCAGTTCAAACAGATTGTGCTTGTTCATTATTGTGTATATATACACTCACTTAAAGGATTATTAGGAACACCTGTTCAATTTCTCATTAATGCAATTATCTAATCAACCAATCACATGGCAGTTGCTTCAATGCATTTAGGGGTGTGGTCCTGGTCAAGACAATCTCCTGAACTCCAAACTGAATGTCAGAATGGGAAAGAAAGGTGATTTAAGCAATTTTGAGCATGGCATGGTTGTTGGTGCCAGACGGGCCGGTCTGAGTATTTCACAATCTGCTCAGTTACTGGGATTTTCACGCACAATTTCTAGGGTTTACAAAGAATGGTGTGCAAAGGGAAAAACATCCAGTATGCGGCAGTCCTGTGGGCAAAAATGCCTTGTTGATGCTAGAGGTCAGAGGAGAATGGGCCGACTGATTCAAGCTGATAGAAGAACAACTTTGACTGAAATAACCACTCGTTACAACTGAGGTATGCAGCAAAGCATTTGTGAAGCCACAACATGCACAACCTTGAGGCGGATGGGCTACAACAGCAGAAGACCCCACCGGGTACCACTCATCTCCACTACAAATAGGAAAAAGCACGAGCTCACCAAAATTGGACAGTTGAAGACTGGAAAAATGTTGCCTGGTCTGATGAGTCTCGATTTCTGTTGAGACATTGAAATGGCGTAAACAGAATGAGAACATGGATCCATCATGCCTTGTTACCACTGTGCAGGCTGGTGGTGGTGGTGTAATGGTATGGGGGATGTTTTCTTGGCACACTTTAGGCCCCTTAGTGCCAATTGGGCATCGTTTAAATGCCATGGCCTACCTGAGCATTGTTTCTGACCATGTCCATCCCTTTATGACCACCATGTACCCATCCTCTGATGGCTACTTCCAGCAGGATAATGCACCATGTCACAAATTGGTTTCTTGAACATGACAATGAGTTCACTGTACTAAAATGGCCCCCACAGTCACCAGATCTCAACCCAATAGAGCATCTTTGGGATGTGGTGGAACGGGAGCTTCGTGCCCTGGATGTGCATCCCACAAATCTCCATCAACTGCAAGATGCTATCCTATCAATATGGGCCAACATTTCTAAAGAATGCTTTCAGCACCTTGTTGAATCAATGCCACGTAGAATTAAGGCAGTTCTGAAGGTGAAAGGGGGTTAAACACCGTATTAGTATGGTGTTCCTAATAATTCTTTAGGTGAGTGTATATATATACAAGATCAGATCACATTTTATGACCAATTAATGCAGAAAACCAGTTAATTCCAAAGGGTTCATATACTTCTTTTTAATTAAAAAATGACTATGGTCTTCAGAATCCAGAATAACTAAATAAAATAAATATGAACCCTAAGTGAAGCATGTCCTTCTATCAGATGACAGGCGTCTACACCAATGATGGGCTGTACTGTTGAGTGATTGACAGTCCACTGGACCAATCATGAAAGAAATCAAGAGAGCACTGTGGGTGGGTCTGTGTCAATAATTGAAAACATATCTGAGCAGACTGCTATACCATTATGGCAAGACTGCTGTTCATCACATAGCCATTACAGCAATCTGTCTTTGCCAAACGGAGGAGGGCCACATTAAAAGGCAGGCGGTACCTGTAGAGATTAATCAACAGCAATTACTAAATGCAGCCTCATTACTCTCTCACATGGCAGCGCCAACATTTATTAATGGTGTTAATCTTTCTAAATACCCCATCTAATTATTGGTTTGTAGTCTCTGATTTTTTTTCTTTACATTTTTGGAGTTATTAGTGTTGAAAATGTAATCAAAGTCTGTCTTGTTTGGGCATTTAAGTAGCAGTGGGTTTTTATCACCACAGTCTGTTTACAAACACCTTGCATGTAATCATACATCATATGTTTGCATGGTTCATTTTGCATTCTTTTTTTGTATCTAAATATTTAGCAGGTAGGCACAAAGCCACCCAGCTGTACTACTTCATGCATCACTAATTTTTTGATACAAGAAGGAATTGGCTAAATTGTTATTTACTTGAGAAATAAAGACCAGTTTAGATTGCAGGTGGGGCCTTTTGAGAATCATTACCAATGATACAGCTTGTCTAGCCCTACTACACTGAGTACACATTAAACGTAAGTAGTGAAATGTTAAGTGCCAGTTTTGGCACATGTTTTCAGGCCAGCTTTCACAGGAGGATTTTCACTCTCTGTCCTCAGCATAGATCCTTCCAGAGATGAAGATACCAGGAAGCTGATTTGGGGATTTGAATAGGTCATTGGAGCAGAGCAGTGGGATCTATTTCCATTGGTCTCTAAAGCTCTAAGGCTTTGCAGTGTAACGAGGAAATGTGGGGTCATTCTTGAAAGCTTCAAGAGAAGAGAGGGGAGATGCTTCAAAGCAGAGGATTTGTACCAAACACGTGCAGAGTCTAGAAAGAGCCTCTCAATAAGCAATTTACCAAACTGTATAAGTGGGATACAACATTAGTGTCATGCACTGCTCCACCGATCAGGAAACTTGGAGTGGAGGCAATGTGAACTTCCCATTTTCTTCATGCCCTTTCCTGAATAACCAGCGTAACACCACAGCTGCATAACCGTGGAGGATGGAGGGATATAACACTGCGGTGTGTTCTCAGCTCACAGAGGAAGAGGTGTAGCCCACAGCAAGGTCACAAACTGCCAATTTGGCATCTCCCACTTTTCCTTACGTTCCCGTTTACATCATTTGCTTGTCAAATAAAGAATCCTACCATTTCTTATTTTCGGTTATTATTCCAGAAAAGATGATTTCTAGATGGGGACCTGCTATTTACTTGATCTCTCTAGCAGTTTTTCCTAATGAAATGGACCAGTGAGAGACCTGATCAGGCTATATGATTACACATGTTCATGTTTCTATTTGTTTTTAAGTTTCCAGCAATTAAGTTAAACAGAACAGTGCATGTTCATCTGATTATATAACGTAATTGGAGGTTCTATGGTTTTGCAGGTCAAGGATTCCCTGATCTTACTTTCGGTTTGGCTCCTCTGTCAAAGCAACCTGTCACAATGTAATTCAGGAGGCCTGACCCAAACCAAGAGGGCTTCCTGACTTTCTTCACAGTCTTTGCTTTTCTCAGTTCCTGCTAGGGCTTTCAGGGCTGTATTTGAGATCTTCACACGTCCACAGTCTCTGTGGAGCATTTACAGGATTCCAGCTTTCTAAAGAAAGACTTTGACATGCTTATAGCATGGTGATATAGGGGAAGGAATGATCCAATGTACCTGATTACTCATGCCTGAATTTCAGCAACAAGAGCTGAACAGGTTTTTCAGCAAGCCAACAGTAAAATAACCAATTACTTGTTAACATTTTTTAAAAACATTTATACCTTTATCACCCATGCACCAATCAGCCATAACATTAAAACCATTGACAGGTGAAGGGAGTGACATTGATTATTTCGTTACAGTGGCACCTGTCAAAGGTGGCATCATATACAGGCTAGAGAGCAGTTATAAGGTTGGGAGCAGGAAAAATGGCCAAGCATAAGGATCTGAGCGATTTTGACATGGGGCAAATTGTGATGGCTAGACGACTGGGTCAGAGCATCTCCATACTCTACAAAACCTTGTGGGCTGTTCCTGATATGCAGTGGTCAGTATCTACCAAAAGTGGTGCAAGTATCCTGTGAACCAGCGATGGGGTCATGGACACCCAAGGATCACTGATGCGCGTGGGGAGCAAAGGCTACCCTGTCTGCTCTGATCCCGCAGAAGAGCTACTGTAGCACAAATTGCTGAAAAAGGTAATGCTGACTATGATAGAGGAGATGTCACCCAGTGCATCGCTGCTTGTTGCGTATGGGGCTATGCAGCGGCAGACCGTTCACAGTGCGTATGGGGCTATGCAGCGGCAGACCGTTCACAGTGCGTATGGGGCTATGCAGTGGCAGACCGTTCACAGTGCTTATGGTGACCCCTGTCCACCACTGAAAGAACCTACAATGGGCATGTGAGAGTCAGATCTGGACCATGGAGCAATGGAAGAACGTGGTTTGGTCTGATGAGTCCTGTTTTCAGTTACATCATGTGGACTGCGAGGTGTGTGTGAGTCATATACCTGGGGAAGAGATGGTACCAGGATGCACTATGGGAAGAAGGGAAGCCAACGGAGGCAGTGTGATGTTCTGGGCAATGTTCTGCTGGGAAACCTTGGGTCCTGGCATTTACAGGGATGTTACTTTGATACGTACCACCTACCTAAATATTGAAGCAGACCAAGTATGACGCTTCATGGCAACGGTATTCCCCAATGACAATGGCCTCTTTTAGCAGGATAATGCGACCTGCCACATTGCAAAAATTGTTCAGGAATGGTTTAAGGAACAGACTTCAAGGTGTTGAAGATCTCAAGCTGATCAATCTGAAGAAGCATCTGTGGGATATGTTAGACAAATCCTTGCCATGCTACTGCTAATGTCTTGGTGCCAGATACCACAGGACACCTTCAGAGGTCTTGTGGAGTCCATACCTTGATGGGTCAGAGCTGTTTTGGTGGCATGAGGAGGACCTACACAAAATTAGGCAATAGAGGTTTTAACATTATGGTAATTGGGTGTTTATGCTAAGTTCCTTACAGCTAGTGAAATACAGAACTATATACATGCTTAATCTTAATGTTTCTGCACATCAATACATTCAATTTATTTGTACTTTTCAAATGTTTCCTCCACTATTAAGGGTGAAATAAGAAAAGCCCACCAATTCGGATCTACTGGGATGTATTAACATTTGGAATTCCTCCTATGAGGATGAAAGTGTCGCAGAAACATGTGAGGACATAGAATAGTCTCCTGCTTCCTGCATGGAGCATCAACCAAAACTTCCATACTGATCAATGGAAGCTCCAACAGTAATGATGCCATCAAAGACATTGGTTATTCCAGTACTGGAGAGGTTGCTGGGGGATTATTAGCCATTATTACACGGCTCTCTGGAATGCTTGATTCTGATTGGTCAGTTGAGACATTTGCAGGTTCGTTCTTTTCAAATAATGACCGCTCCAAAGTAATAACGTATAGCCGGTACTACTTGTATGTTTAAAATCAGTCCGCGCCAACAAAGATTATCGTTTAAAAATGTTCATTTAAAACAAATATGTCAATAAAATGTTTCAAATTTATATTCATGTCCAGTTTTTTTCCTTATGTGGCAAGTAGCCGTGTAATAAGCGGGATAATGTACAGGCAGCCGGTAGTTATCGCGAAATAAGCCCCTTCAGTGTGATACAAGACCCTCCGCTTCGCGTCGGGTCCTGATCACACTGTCGGGGCTTATTTCTGCGATAACTACCGGCTGCCTGTACATTATCCCTTACTTGTGAAATGCTTTATGCAAGAAGGAGACACCATGGTGATATGAAAAGTATGAGGCTTTTGCTACTTTCATATGCTCTTGTCATTGTAACAAAACATAAATAAGTTGCTGAAATCCAGCAGCATGGAATGTGGATATGGATAAAAATTAAGAACTTGATTGCATGATAAACAAATATGTTGGAAGGGAAGATGACATGCTAAGACGGACCAATCATCTTTCTCAGCTGAAATTTGTGACATTTTACTGGTTGCATTTTTCAGGTTCCTTTGATATCTAGCTGGCCAATGCTCAGAGACATGTCCTTAAGCAACCAATCAGGTGTCTTTCTGTGTTTAAAGTGACACTTTACTCCTGGTAACCATTCAGAACCTGGTCCATGGAAACCACTGCATTGTTTTCAGCCAGGTGCGATGCAGGGGAACCACAATGCTTGCAACTCCTTAAAAAACACCAACGCGTGTGCTGGCAACAGGTGGGCTTATGTTAAATGGCCCTTTAATTCAAGCACGTGTAAGTACTACCAGGAGTATTCGAGTGTCCATGGTATTTATAAATGTATTTTACACAGACTGCAGTTAGTGCTGTTGACACAAAGACATTTTCCAGCTCCACCTGCCTGAAATACGCCCATTTTAAAAACCAACAAATGCAATGCCATGAACAATATATCATAAAAGCCCCTTAAAACCCAAGTGATTAGCTACTGAGATTTGTATAAGGTTTTTCAATTTACTAACTTTAATTGTAAAGCCATGCAATTTTCCGAAATTTATTTTCAGACTTGCCACTCACCCTGTTACGTTTGATCTTTCTGCGTCTCTGATCTGCGTCTGTGCTCAGATTATTCCCATTCGCCTGGTAGCCATTACTCTCAAGGACAGTTTTCAGCTAAGGTGTCTCATGTTCAGTATAGCGAAAAATGTCAGTCTTTAATATGCCGAAATGCTCTTTGTCAGTAACCTGCATACATACTGTATAATAACAGTGTTACTGCTGTCTTCCCAGCCCCCAAAATGCACTGAAGGCAACACAAACAATATATCAGAGACGACAGAAGTTTATCAGCAAATCATTATTTGGCATAGTAGTACCCATATTCTGTAATGGGACAAAACTAGGATAACATAAGTCTTGTTTAAATTGGTTATTCTGTTATCCCACAACAAAATGAAGCTTCATGCTGTTATTTCTATTATACAAATATAAATGTTCTCATGTCTGTGCATTTTCCCCCTTCTTTTCAAAGCTTGACAGTTATGATTATATTCTGACCATTGTTCCATTAATCAATTACTGCAACACCCTTTTTTTTCGATCTATGTGCGGGGGCTGTAATGGTTTTATCACTTAGAGAAGCACTAGTAATGGGTCCAGGAGCTCTCTCACTTTAATAATGTCAGCATTACCTACTACATTTTATAATGAAGAGCCGTGTCATTCATTACTGGAGTAATAGGTCCTAACGCTAATGGATATCAGACGAAGGGCTAATATAAGAGGCTGTTTTAGTACGGTTATCCAGCTGCTCCGGGTCAGAAGCTGTAAATGAAGCTCTTTGCGCTCAATGAAGCACAATGGTTGCTATGTGCTGGACGAGGAAAGGGAAGATATCCCCGCTAACCTCTTTCCTGCATGGGCTCATTAGCGCATGCCCGCCGCCGCCACCGCTAATTCAGCCCAGAGATTTTTTTTTTCCCCCAAGCACCAGAATATGTCTGAAAGGAAACTTGGCCGAGGCGGGACCCCTTCAGCTGTCTCCCCCACTCCCTCCCCCCTCGCTCTCTGTTACGGTCGGGTGGTGGGTGCCGAAATGGGCTCTCTGTCATAATTGTCCACTCCCTACATTAATTGGCGTCTCGCGTGTGTCTATGCAGCCATGTCATTGCCCACACTGACATTTACCCTGGGAAGTTAAGGTAGACTGGGGCCGTTCTTTGATATCATTTCAATAGCCTTTTCTCAATAAATACCTACATCAGGCATCCATCCATCATCGCCCAACCTCTTATCCAATACAGGTCCATAGAATCTGAAACAAAAAACACAGAAAATGTACCTTTCATTGACATGAAATATATAAAGGAAATGAATATCAATCTCAAAGACAAGCACTAATAGCTGATCCTTGTTTAAACAAAATAAATATATATTAAAACACCGTTTAACACACTTTAACAATCTGATAAAATAGTTTAAACAAAAACTGAGAGACTGCTTACGATTGCAATACTGTTTGTTCATTTCAGACACACAAATTTTACTATATTTTCTTGCATTTTGACCAGATGACCCGATTCCATCAATCACTGTGCACACAGGTAGGTCTTGAGGAGGATGACCATTAAATCACAAAACAGCTTCACCTTCATCCTTCCTGGACTAATTTGCCCTTTGGGGTACAGAACCTTAACCAAATGTCCCCACAGTGTGATAAAAACCTGTTACTTTGACCTTGTGGGGACATTTTTTCGCTACTCACAAGGGAAAACACAATTAAATAAAAATCTGTGAATGGAATCAAAAAACGAAACATGCCAAAAGTCTTGTACTTTGTTTGGTTACTTATGGTTAAGGTTAGGGCTGGGTAGGGGTTAAGGTTGTCATTGTTGGGATTAGGGTTTTTCCCATAGAAATGAATGGATGGTCTCCACAAATATATGAATACAAATGTGTGTGTGTGTGTGTGTGTGAGAGAGAGAGAGAGAGCACGTGTTGGGAGCATGTAGCCATGGTATATCGTTGTCTCGTTATCTTTTCCTGATGCTTTGTAATCCCTGCACAAGGGTCGCGTGCCCTTGTCCTAATAAGCATAATCTCATTACACAGAAAATAAAACTTTCCTGTTTATCTCTAGATTCTGAATGAAACTAATAAGGGCTATAATAGTGTGAGCCCACCCCCCTCTGCCAGCACCCCAATCATATTTCTGGCTATCTAAAAGCAATCAGTAATTGTGTTAGTACTGGAACGTCCTGACAATACCGCCAAGACAGGCAGGACCAACGGAAAACCCAGCTGGACTAATTAAATTAAATGCTAGTCTGCAAAGATACATTTGCTACAGCCTGGTGGATAGGGGTGTGGAATTAATAAGCATTGGAGCACAGTGCGGGGGATGCTACAATAATGGACGCAGGAGGCTGATTAAAACCCCACAGACAATAATTACTAACGTTACGGCCTTTTTGGAGAGGTGCAAGGTACCCATGCTGAAATTCATACACAATCCAATTATGATGCCTAATGTTTAATTACTGTTCTTTCAGTCATTTAAATAGATCCATGAGGAGGTGAATATTCGCATGAAGTTCGAACTCCCGCTGATCATAGATGCCGGAGAGTAATGTAAGGGTGCCAGCAAGTGGAAGTCGCAGTTGATAGATTGCTTATGGTTTGGTAATACGTCAGTGATGCAGAGATTGTGTCCAGGTGGGCTGGAGATAAAACCAACTGTTTCGTAATGCCTAGAAATGAGCAAAAATATATCAAAATGCGTTTTGATACAAAATACTCTAATTGTAAGTGTATCACAATATCAAAAATTTCACCCACCTTACGCAGAATTGTTCTCACGCCATCTCTCACGTGTCGACAAGCCAGGGCAAATTACTCAGTAGCACAGCGAATGCAGCCCATTGCGTATGTCTTAATGTATCCAACAGGGATAATTTTATCGACTCATATACAATGACTTTTAACACAATTTGTTGGTTTGACTACTCAGGCTAACAATCAGATTTAAACCAGTTGTCACACATCAAGCTAAAGTTCAGCAGATGTCTGTAAAATTAATAATGCCCTGACTTTTTCTGACTTATTTTCTATTTCTACAAATACTACAAAATGCTATTTCACAAATATTCATGCAAAATCTAAATGCATTATTGAAATAATGATATATCTAGTATTTTGGCTTTGATTGTAAGCGTAAGGTGGAATACAGTGCAACATCCCAACCACCAAGCTTACAAGAAATGGCACCCCCATCACCATAACTGCTTAATCCCAACTGGGGTCGTGGGGGGGCCTGGAGCCTCTCCCAGGAACAAGGGGCACAGGCAGGAACCAACCCCGGGCAGTCGCCAACACACCACAGGGCACACACACACAATTACTGGGGCAATTTAGACTCGCCCCCCAGCCTGCCCGGCACCCTTTTGGAACGTGGGAGGAAACCGAAGCCCCCGGCAGAAACCCAGGCGAACATGGGGAGAGCATGTGGAACCGGCACAGGAAGGATCCCAGGACCTTCTTGCTGTGAGCCAGCAGTGCTAACCACTGCACCACCGTGCCGCCCCGAAATAGCACATCTAAACACCAAACTTGACGAAAAGAAGTGTGTTCTCTCCCACCGCCCAAGTGGGAAAAACATTAGACTATTAATCTGTCATTTATCACCCTCTCTTCCTCTGTCCTGACAGCCTGAAGCTTATAATCTCACCCCCCACCCCCACGGCTCACGACAGGCATAATGCGGCAGAAATGCAATCAGACACAGTAATGACAGAATAAATGAAAAGCCCCTCAGTGAAAGTAGCAGTGTACCCGTGCCCCCCGACCTGTGCCCCCCGACCTCCGCTTCCCATCGCTTTCTGCCCATTTAACGTTGCCAGGACCCCAGCAGCCAGCCGCTACCCACCAGCGGGTACGGGGCCTCCCCCAGGCCAAATTAGGGGGGAAGCTCTTTTCCCTGCCTGCCAGGTCCTCCCCTCCTATTTCAGACAAAGAGGGTATAAGTTTGAGCTTGTGTGAGCTTGGGCCCTTTTCTTTTCAAGGATAAAGGGCGGAGCAGTGGTGGCCTGGCCCCACGACTCAGGAGCCATGCAGCCCCACCCCCCCCACCTGCGGCCTCACACAGCTCCACCATACTCAGCCCGGCTGGACGGCATCCTCGACCCTACGCTCCCGACTCCTCGCATTCTAAATGAGGTCACCCTTCCAGGGAGGCCGAGGCCTTCAAAGCGCCACTCTCTACATGGCCTTTACTTCCTCCGCACTCCATCCTTTCTTTCTCCTCTCCTTTATTTTTCATGAGTAATTCTCACCGCTTCTGAGATGCCTTCAGAAGATACAAAGAGGAAAAAGTAACCTATTGCCAGCTCTTTAAATCTAACCTTTATTTGTATGAAGGAAAAGGAAGACGTCTTACTCAAACGTCAGTTTGCTCGCTACACTTTCAAGGATCTACGCGTGGAGATTAATCTTTGAAATTTATGAAATATTTACAGCCTTTCTAAACCCAACTCACAAACATAACGCTAGACAGACTGCATTTTTTGCCAGTGTAAGAAAATCAGCCGAAACTATATGTAGCTGTAAGCCAATAATTACACCGTGAAAAAAAGTTTGAGATGCACTATAGCTAAACAGGTTTGGCATGCAACAGAAAGAACATTAAGGATAGTTAGCTACTCGCAATCATTAAACAGCATTTTCATGCAAATCGAAAATGCCATTAATGTTTACGTTTTATTCCACTGCGTTTCTGAGAAGTGCATTTACGGTAAACCAAGGAAATTAGTTTGCTCTTAAAAGCAGGTTCCATTCACTCAAGTAAATCCTCTTCCACACAACATTTTGTAATTCCCTTTTTTATTTAGTATGGTAATGTAATATAAAAAAGAAAACTAATTGCATATTCCAGACATTATGTGATTATGTAAATATGAATGCTAAAGTAGTTATCATAATAACCCGAATTCCTCATTGTCTGCAAATTATCCATTTACTTACTGACTTGATAATTCCAAACCCTCTCCCAATCCGTTTAGCCAATAAATATCTAATACTGTTAAGGTTAACAAAATTGTCCCCTGAATCTGACTTAAGCAGAATGCACTTATGCACGTGACATTCAAAAACTATCAAAGTCTGTATGAATGATTAGAAATAAACTTGTACATAAAAATTCACCCACTAAACACCCAGAGAGAGTCAGAGGAGAAACCCAGCCCACGACCCTGGTAACTCTCTCCTGGAAGGACTCCAGTGCAGTAGCTTATTTAATCTGCCAGAATGAAAGGGGGGCGGGGGGGTGTAGGCATCAGTGCAATGGCAGTCACAGCTAAAACAGCTGTTATTATTACTGTACTGTGCTCCATTTGCCATTTTATATTGTGCTCAGTTTCTGCACAAATTGTTTGTACTGCACTACAGTTTGTCCTGCACTGTCTTGCCTTGAACTGCACTACTGATTGCTCTGCACTGTCTTGTACTGCACTATTGTTTACCCTGCACTGTTCTATAATGCACTACTGTTTGTCCTGTACTGTCTTGTCATGAACTGCACTCCCGATGTCCTACCTTGCAACGGCAGCATAAGAATGTCACAGTGCTCCTTGGAACATGTGACAATAAAAACTTGATGGAAATGGCCCGTCACTGTCCCCCTGCTCCCAATACAAACAGTCTGTCCGGGTGTGAGTGTGTGATTGTCAAGTGATACATCTCATGAACTGCACTGCATGTGACTAATCCACTATTTGTTATGGTGTCTGATCCCCAAAGGGGCAAAAACACAGGTTTATGTGTTCAGGGTCTTTTTTGTGCTATTTTACAGCGCAAGGAAAGCTTTACTGACCATATTAACCGAAGAGAGCAGCAGAAACCTCCTGGATCATCGGCGCTGTTCTTTATGAAGCATCAGCACCTGAAAATCACGTGGAGCTGCGCTGAGATTACAGGACTCTGCAAGGCACGTGACGAAGCATCAGCACCTGAAAATCACGCGGAGCTGCGCTGAGATTACAGGACTCTGCAAGGCACGTGACGAAGCATCAGCACCTGAAAATCACGCGGAGCTGCGCTGAGATTACAGGACTCTGCAAGGCACGTGACGGGATGCATTTGTTCATCTGCCGTAGTGTTTCCATTTTCATAAGGTAAACACTGTGTGCATAAGGCATTGTAAATGTATTAATAAAACAGTATAGTATGTATATAATGTAAGGCAAAATATAAGCATTATATCTATTCCCATATCTATTCAAGGAAGCGTGGGTTTAAATAATATTCTCACTTGTAAGTGATGTTGGCAGATCTTTGTTTTCTTACCTGTATTTCACAACATAGAAACACACAATATCTTCACAAGATCTCATACTCCAGCCTGTTTATCAGCATTTTAATTATGCAGTTAATCATTGTCAGCGGTTGGCAGATTGAGCCACAAAGGAACCTACAGTGTTATGGAACATAACCAAAATAAATAATAATAATAAAGCTCTAATGATGATTGTTTGTAAATTGGTTTATATGCATGATGTATTAAGAAACAAAAATTCAGATAGTTACATAGTTACGTTTTTTACATACATTACTATTTATCCATTTACCAAAAGTTACATCACTGTCATGTTATGTAATCTCAATAAAATCATACTGTTACTTGTAGGCTTGCTTTTACTCTTTAGAATTTTATTTATTCTTCTGTACCTCATCCCATTGCTCTTAACTTAAATTGAATTAACATTGAAGCTGGAGTAATTACCTAGAAATTGGGCAGCAATTTTTTGCCAAACACCTTCTGTCAGTGGTGCATCGCAAAAAAAACAGCGCCTGCCCACAATGGAGAGCATCTCTGTGGAGACGACTGTTAAACTGCACTCCTCTAATCAGAGGGAGAAGCGCGGGAGATAAAAGAGAAAATAATGACCATCTGATCGGGGCTTTGAAAGTGCAACAATGGGCCAGAGGATCAGATAGGCAAACATGAGGCTGGGGGTGCTGAAGTGGGGAGGGGGCCGAATTGAGCCATGAATTTGACAGCTCCCATCTCAGACTGTGGCAAAGCACATGTCTCCCTGAAAGCCCACTGCCCCACGATACCTACCCACCCACCCCGAGCCACATCCATCCATGCGGCGATGAAACCTCTTATCTAAGACACTGTGCGACAAATATTGGCACCACACTCTTCCTGTGATATATGTGCCTGTTTGACTTTCTGGATTCGTATTTAATATAACAGGCAGCATATTAAATGTGAATTGCACAGCAGAGAAATGCAGTAACAGTGATGTAGGGATATTATTATAAAAACCCAGTGATAGACTATCTTGGGCACGGTGCCACTGAGGAATTCTTTTCATAAAATGAACTCAATTAAAAAATGTTTTGAAATTCTTTCTAAAATATATGTTTCTAAAGAGTAATAATAAATAATCCAATATCCTAAGTAGCATTACCTAAATGTGGGTTATTATAATGTTTTTATTAATGAGCACTACAATAAACTTGTAAAAACATACACACAGGCATTCACAGATACTCATAAGCTAACTTTATGATTATAAAGTAACAAGAGAACCGTTTTCCTCATATTCCGATAAAAAGTCTCCACTGCTGACATGGGAAATAAATCATCCATCAAACTCTTGATAGCTGACAATGATGATGTGAACTGTGCCCAAAGCCTAATTTAATCTGCTGTGTGAGAACACAGACTAATCCATGGAAATCCTTTGGCACTATGCTGGACACTGCGGAGACACTCTTATGAGCTTAATTTGCTTTAAGTGTCCTATAACTACCAAAGTGGCGCTGATTATTATTAAGGCATAATTTGCAGAGATTATAATCATAAGAAATCTGAAACTGGGGGGACCAACATTTTAAGATTTTTGTAAGTAAGGCTAGTTTGATTCAGAAAACTGGTTTGATACTGACAAGAGCATAAAGCAGAACACTGAAATGATTCTGAACATTGGTTTGGTACTTAAAACTGATATTATTCATGCAGACTGGTATAATACTAAACACTGATTATGTATAGAATATTTATATGATAACCTACAGAACACTGGGTGGAAAACTACCAGAATTCAAGAAAAAAGCTCTATATGGCATTAATACCAACTAAATCCACCAGAAATTGCATTAGCAAAGTGAAGAAGTTCACATATAGCCATAAACATAGTACAGTTATATTTTCCATTAAACCCTAAGAGTCAGTAATGCAGAAGTTTGGTCTTAAGAGCATTTCTTGGCTTCTTAGGGAACTGAAGAAAAAGGATCTTTCCGGGGTTGTCTGCTGAGTGACCAGTGCGGCCAACCATTGCAGTAGCACTGCTAAAAATCCCCGGGTATAGACACCGCTGAAAGCAACTCAAGAGCATATTCTGGCTGAGGCCACATTGGCTGCAGTCCAACTGAGATTAATGACTAGATTACAAGCATTTCCTGTCTGTTGACGCTCACTGTCAGGGCCATGTGGAGACTTTTTGTGGGACAGGTGTTCAAAAGTCCCCCCCCCGGATATGTCTTCTTACCTTAACTGGGGGGTGGGCAGTGAAGTCCTGTGCTCATCTGTTTCAGCCCTACCTGCTGGAATACTGAAACAAATATTATCAGATAAACTCTCCACTTCTGTTCACTTGGGACAAATAGTCTCTTGCGGTGACAAAATGCCAGCTTAGGACCTTCATATAATCATACGATGATTATCCCCCTAAGCCATATTTCCTGTACATAGAAAAGTATACTGTACAGTATAATGTACTATACTGTATATTTACTGTAGGAAGACTCATGCTAGGTAATCTACATACACAGACATGTTATATCTGTTGAGGGTGTAAATATTGATCCCAATAAATCTAAATACAAGTGCAATTCTACTCAGAGTAATTGAAAAACAATAGCTCTATAACAGAAGGAATCATTTATTTTAATTTTGATTGACTATATGTAGGCAATCTGAAATCTTATATATCTAATGCAGTGATTAAAACAAATTACAGATGACTGTATAAAACAGTCCCATGTAAAATGCTTTCTTTTTATTTCATAACACAGCTACTGTGTCTAATATAACACAGCATCAATAGTAAAGTGCTCAGCAAAGAGAATGGCAGCCACAGGACTCATTGAAACAATGTGTCCTTTCTGTAAGCTATATAGAAAGACTCCTACCAGTCACTCTCTTTCCCATAAACACACTTTTTAAACCCCCCTCCCCCCCCACAAACACACACACACACACACACACATTTTCTCCATCTCTCTCTTCAGGGAGCTTAAAAGCTCCATCAGGAAACAAAAATGCAGGCAGTATAATCGCACCCATTACAACTGTCATTATGCTCATGGCCGCAATTCACCGCTGTAACAAACACAAATTGCAATTTGCATTGCATTCTGGGAAATGGACACGGGCAACGAGGTAAATGATTCACCACAAGAAACTTGCTGGGATGAGACTTACTGATATGATATGAAACACGAAAAATGCAAGATGCGAACAAATAAAATTTGTTTAGAATACAGATATTTTTAAGGGTGGATAAAGGGTAAAAACTTGTAGAGGAATGGTAGAAAGGATGTAAAGTAAGTAATGAATAAAGATCCATATGAAGGAAGAATGTCGGACACTGAGAGAGGTGGAGCGAGAAATAACCACACACCTTAGACTGCTAATAAAATTAACTGAATTTAAATATCACAACCAAGGCTCAGTTTTCTTTTAAAACATATTTATGAGAATTCACAAGTACAGTCGAAGACGGAACACCCCGGAAACACCAGGCCCCCCATGGCCCCGGAGACCCTTGGAGTGGAATCTGCATGAAAACAGTAACCAGCAGGAGTCAGGGCTGCAGGGCTGCTGGGCTGCAGGGCTGTTGGGCTGCTGGGCTGCAGGGCTGTTGGGCTGCTGGGCTGCAGGGCTGTTGGGCTGCTGTGCTGCTGGGCTGCTGTGCTGCTGGGCTGCAGGGCTGCTGTGCTGCAGGGCTGCTGGGCTGCAGGGCTGTTGGGCTGCTGTGCTGCTGGGCTGCTGTGCTGCTGGGCTGCAGGGCTGTTGGGCTGCTGTGCTGCTGGGCCGCTGGGTATACGGTGCACTAAATAAATATCATTAAAAAATGGACTCAAGTGCAGGAGTATCGGGAAACAAGAAAACATCATAACTACAACAAACCTGAAAACAAGACACTGGCACCGAAGCTGTGAAACTAATCAAGAACACAGGTACAAGAAGCAGGCTGACCAGAGGCATGGAACCTGGGCCAGGGGGCCGGCCATCCAAGGCCGGTAACTCCCACCAAAATCCAGAAATAATAGTAAGAAACTCAACCAGGAAGCCTCACTCACAGCAAGCAATGCAGCACACACTCTCTGCAGGATGCAGAGCCGAATATCTGTGGCTCAGTGCGAGATCACATGCTCCATGCTCAATTTCCCGATTATGATGGAACACGTGCAATAAAAGTAGAAAACTAGTAAGTTGTATTTTTAAAATGTTCTATTTCCCTTAAATTTTAGAAGTTAAGCAGTTTGATTTATTGGAGGGAAAAATGTAGGAGAAAATTGTTATTTTATAAAAATCATCCAGACATCTAATACAATTACATTTTATCAAAACTGTGTAAACAAATTACTTTTTTTAATCAAAAGCAAGGGAAAAAGCTTTTGCTTTGACATTATATTTTAACAGGGGAATAAATTATTCATGTTGCTACAGCCTCCAATAGTCCGTGTCTGATCAGGAGTAAGGATCCGTACATGTCCTTGTATGATTTATTGATGGCATAATTGTGGTATTAAAAATTCAAGTGTAGCAATGCGATCTGTGTGATCATATTTGGCTGTAGACCAGCGGCTGAAGCTTATTAGTCTCTGGTGATCAGCGGGTTAAGCTTCATTAACCCTGAGGATTGTTTTAATTTGATACCTGACCTGTGTGTGTTTGAAGGCTCACAGGTGCACTTTATGGCCACATAGTTACTGTCCTTCATGATGACATCGATGTCCATCACAAGATGAAACAATTTGCAGTGATGACTCCCTGTTCTCGATGAAGCTCCGTTCTCGTGCCACGGGGGCCCACAGATTAAAAATTAACGATACATGTTGCCCTGACGACTAGTTCCATTACAGTACAATAAAATCATACTTATAGGCAAACACTGTATACTTAACCTGAAATGTAAGATTTCGCAGGTAATTTGAAGTACATATATTGACATACTCTCTCAATCATAGTGGACATTGAGGAAGTTCTGGGGATACTTTTAATAAAGTCACTGCCAAACTGCTTCACTAGAAAAAAAACAAAATATTGTGGATTACATGCATCTCAGGACACTCACTGTTCAAGTGCAGGGAGTCCGGGTATAATGTCAGATGTCCAGGTTCAGCGCACAGGACACGGGGGGGGTGGTTCCCCTTGGTAGATCTTGCTGACCTGGGGGGGAGATCATCCTTGATCAATTTTGGCAATGGGAGGTGATGACAAACTTGTCATTTCACTACCTGTCTACGTGCCTGGTCATTGCGGACTTTCAGGAGGCTTTAGGAGCTAGTTTCTGCTGCAGTTTTTGTGTTTATGACAAACTACGGTATTCTTTGCTGGAAAATATTAGTCTTGTTGAGACCTTTGGTGCACCTTATGACATTAATAAAAGTCTTTAGGTTTCACTTAAAGCACTGCTGTGAAAACAGCAGTTGGCTGTTTATTTAATGATTATTCTTTTTCTTCCAAGGCAAATCTGATAGATTAAAGTAGCAGAAAGAAACAGAATTTATAAATTATACCTTATAAAATAAAAACAAAACACCTTAACTCGGTTAACTTAAACCCACCCTTACCACACACATGAAGAAATGTGTGTACAGTATGAATCAAAATAATTATTTTACAAATAAAGAAAATGAATTTTTACTTGTTGTTGCAAAAGGATAATGTAAACAGTACCTGAATTGAAATTACAGTGTATTAAATGAAGAGAGAGCTCAACTGCAGTAATAATCAGTGATGTTTAATAGTCTTTGTGTCGGGCAGTTATAGCCAGTGGTGATTTCTTTGTTTTTAACAGCACAAACCTAACAGCACTTCACTGGCTAACAGGCCTCTCCATCAGTTTATTTCTATACAAAATGAGACACCACTCTTTGCTACAAAAGGATCATTTCAAATATTAAAAGTTGCCTTGATACTAAGGATGAATATGTTAAAAAAAATCACATTGCAATATTTCAAATCTTTTTACAATATAAAAGTAGTTGAAAACGTACCCAAAATTAACTATAGAAAAATAGAATTTACCTAACAATTGTCTGTCTTTACTGTGAAAGGCAAATCAGTAGTTCACTGTAAGGATCAGTCCAGGTCTTGTCTGTCATTTCCCTGTATGGCCAGCTGGGGTCACTGGCCATCCTGTTCATCTTCCCCGAGTCTTGTGTGCTTCACAATCGGTAGTATATTCCTCTGGTTGCCATATGGCGGAATGGTCTGAGTGTGTGTCTGAGAACTGTGCATTACTACCATTGTGGGTTTATGTATTTCGGTATTGGTCCTTGTTTTGCATTTCAGTTCTTAGATATCCTTGTTTATTTAGTTTTGTAGGTATATTCTGTTTTACCTATCTTGCTAGTCTCTCCTAGTGTCTGAACTCAGTGTTTCATATTTACCCTCACTGTTCCTGTAGCTCCTAATGTGTAATTAATAACGGCCCACACCTGTCCCTCATCATGTTCTCGTTATCTGTGTATTTATGTGCCTGTCCTTGCTTTGTTCCTCAGTCAGTCATTATGCTTGTTCCTGTTTTACTGTGTGTACTGCATACTGCTTGTTCCTGCATGATCCTTACCAGTGTTTCCTGAACCTGTGTCTCCTGTGTTCATTAACAGTCCCTTTTAGTTCTTGTTTTATCTCCTGTCTTTGTTTTGACCCCTTGTGGTCTGTTTTGTTTTTGTTAGTCTGTCCATTTTTCAGTAATGCCCCTTGCTGCCATTAAGCCACACTGTGAATCATCCTTCCCACCAGGATGTGCCATACCAGTTCACATTCTGTTTAACTTGTCAAAACGACTCTACTGGTACAATCACAATTCACTCTTATTTCACAGAATGTGATAGAACATTAATTTCTAGAACATCTTTAATGACAACCTAAATGTATATATGACATTACTACCAGCAGCAAAATCAGATGCTGTAAATTGCCAACAGACACAAAACATTACCGACAAATCACTTACTTTTGCTCAATATTGTCTCTGTGGAATCCAAAACATTTGCAGACAGCAAACCATGAATCTTCTGGTGATCAGTTCTTGATCAACTCAGTCCATCCATCCATTTTCTGTAAACTCTTGCCCTATTCAGGGCTGTGGGGGGTCTGTGTCCTATCACACGCACACTTATGGGCAATTTGGCAACTCCAATTAATCTCAGCATGTTTTTGGACTGTGGGAGGAAACGCCACGACAGGGCAGGGAGAACATGCAAACGTCACATACATAGAACCTGGTCCCAGAGGTGCAAGGCAACAGTGCTAACGACTGCAACACCATGCCAGCCGTCATTTCTGCTAAACTCTCAACCACATCATGCTATTAGTGAGCAAAGATGAAAATGATTATAAGACTGGAGATTGCATGTAGAGCTCACGCAAAAACAACAGAGGTAAACTTCAAAATGAATAAACCAAAAAGTTATTAGATAATGGACAAATCACAACCAATTATATTGCTGATTAATATTTTATTTACTATTCAATTTTTTAATCTGTCTTTAAATCACTTCTCAAAACACATTTGTTCACTTTGGCCTTTGGTACAGCATGACATGTTGACATTTTTAATTTGTTTTTTTATTTTTTATTTTATTCTATTTATTTTAATTTTGATGTATTTTAGATGTGATTTTTAGTTTATTTTTGGTTTTTATTCTTATTCTGATACACTTGTAGCACTTTGGTCAACTTTGTTGTGTGTAAAGTGCGTTATAAATAAAGTTACCATTGCCACTGCCAATTGGATTTTTTTGTATTTTATACACATTCTCAAATTTTTGAATATTCAACAATGCTGACTCATCCCTGACTGCAATTAGGCTATTTGGTGTCTGTCCCTTAGTGTTTCATACGAAGCGGGGTTACTGGCTTATTGGGGTAACTTGTTGGATTTAAGGTACAGGCCATTGGTTATGCTATTCAGCTTGTGTCATATTATAGAGAGATAAACACAGGCTGCAGCAATGTCCTCCAATTTGATCTACTGGTTGCTTCTGATATTCCGTACAGGTTATCCTGTAGTGCTGTTACATTTTAAACGCCATTGACATTATAGAGAGAGTTTTCATGGTCTTGAATATTCTCCTTCCCACTAAATGGATGTTTTCACGTTACATTTATTTATAAAATGTAAAGTTCTGAAAGTGGGGTCAGACAGTCCTCTGAGAAATTGGGGTTAAGGGCCTTTGCTCAAGGACTCAAAAGGTGAAAAAAACTGTCTTTGAGATGCTGGAACCACAATGTCTGTCACCAATAATCACAAAACATTTAAAATGACTTAGACCACACATCTTAGCCAATCGAATCCTTAGACACACAGCACCTGAAACTCTCTTACAAAGTATAATCCCTTCCATGCTGTGTATGCAGTTTACAATAATTGTATCTAATATAAAGCTATATATGT